CGTGGAGGGATCCACGAGTGAATGAAATGCGCTCGATTGGAGTTGGTGATGAGCTCGAGGGTTGACGTCATTTGTTATGATGGGCTGAATTGAAGATATAAAGCTGCGTGGTGCTCTCGAGGTTCTTCCATCTTCAGCATACAACAATCAGCATACTGAATTGAACAATTGAATAATAGAGAAATTATCATTGAACTTTCTATCTTCTCGAATACCTTATACCCTGATACGAACAACCTATCATAATGTCTGGACTCATGCACAAGGTGAAGGACGCCGTTACTGGCCATCACCACGATTCCACCCACACCTCCAATACCACTGGTACTCACCACGGCACGCACCACACCACTGCCGATACCACTACCACCAACCATGGCCCTCACAACTCCAAGCTTGCCAATACGCTCGATCCCCGTGTTGACAGCGACCGTGGTATGTTATGTTCGCACCTCAACCTCTTCTGCAGATGCTGACCACTATGAATAAAGACCACCGCTCTGGTTCTAACGCCACGATAACTCGGGGCCCAGATGGTGAAAAGGTCGCTCACACCAGCACCCACGGTCCTCGCCCGATCGAGCCCGGCCATGGCCACTCTACTGCTACTGGCACTACCAGCACCAACCACGGCCCGCATAACTCCAAGATCGCGAACAAGCTTGATCCTCGTGTTGACTCTGATGCGGACAACCGCGCCCGGCATGAAGCTATCGGTGGAACCTATGGCCCTCACAGCTCCAACGTCGCCAACAAGGTTGACCCCCGCGTTGACAGCGACAGAGGTGAGAACCACTGATTCAACACTTTTAAGCACTTACTGACTCTTTCAGATAACCGTGCAGCCTACACTGGTGCTGGAGCCACCACCGGCGCCTATGCCAGCGGTGCCAACAACACCTACGGTACTTCGACTTCTACCAACGCCGGACCTCACAACTCGAACGTGATGAACAAGGTCGACCCCCGTATCGACTCGGACATGGACAACCGTGCTCGCCATGAGGCTATGGGTGGTGCCTATGGCCCTCACAGCTCTAACATCGCCAACAAGATCGACCCCCGGGTTGACAGTGACAGGGACAACCGTGGTGCGTACGGAACCACCGGTGCGTATGGAACCACCGCTACCCACGGCACCGGCGCCGGAAACACCTTTGGCACCCACACCAGCTCGAACGCAGGGCCCCATAACTCGAACATGATGAACAAGGTCGACCCTCGCGTCGATTCCGACATGGATAACCGTGCCCGTCATCAGGCCATGGGAGGTGCTTACGGTCCTCATTCTTCCAACCTCGCCAACAAGGTCGATCCCCGCGTTGACTCTGACATGGACAACCGCGGCACTACCCACGGAACCACTGGTTCCTACGGCACTGGTCACGCCTACGGCTCTGGCGCTGGTACGCACACTGGCATGGGTACTGGCATGGGAACTGGCATGGGTGCTCACACCAGCACCAATGCCGGTCCTCACAACTCCAACTTGATGAACAAGATGGATCCCCGTGTCGATTCTGACAGGGACAACCGCGCCCGCCACGAGGCTCTTGCTTCTAACAGCTACAACGCCCCTGGCAGTACCACTCACACCGCGGGACCCCACAACTCTAACCTGATGAACAAGATGGATCCCCGTGTTGATTCCGACTTGGACAACCGTGGTGCCCTTGGCACCCAGCGTGGTTTCTAAGCATGATACCCATTTCATCTTTTTCCCAGGCTTGAAGTTGAATGGTTTTGATATCCACTTATGCCGTCACGATGTCTTTAATGATTAGTTTTATGACCAATGACAATCATCTTATCTGAACCTTGCTCTAGCTGCTTAGTAACAGTAGTAATCTCCCACATATGAAGAGTAACTAAGCTTTGGAGGCTCTGAGCTTCCTCAGTAGGCTCTGAACCCCATCAAGAGTCTCAAGAAATCTCTGCCGCTGCTCATCCATACATTCACTCCGTAGGGTAATTTGGTTAATCCTCTCTCACAAGAGCAGGCACAGACACCCATAGTATTGTGGCTATGACCAGGACAACGGTAATACTCACGATGTGCGTGCAGCAGCAGATGATTCAACCAATGCACTTGGTGGAAGATATCAGCAGCCTCCTGGACTCGTGATCACCGTACAACTAGCTCCCTGCAAGCGATAGAGCGTGGGTGGGTGTTTGCCCAGAGCGTGGACCTTTTCGAGGTAGAGCACGAAGGCGTATATTTGTTATGCAGTCCTGGGCGGCGCTGACTTGGCTTGAGACCGTTCCGATCCTAATACGGATTCTGAGAGTCTTTAGTTTAAGGGTATTTTGGTGCTGAAAGTGTGTCTATCTGTCTTGTTCCCGCTGAAATCAGTCGCTGTCATGCTGAGCTGAAGTCTCACCTGGTGGATTCGTGTGATGATGATAGGCGCTGTTTTTCTGAAGCCCAACCCTGACAAATAGCTGTCTGATAGGGGATATGTGGAAGAAAAGCGTTGCGACTTCAGTATGCTGCGTTGATGTTGAAGGTTCCATTTTCTGCCGTTGGCTCGACTGAAATATCGGTAGGGCAGGGACACATCGCACGTCGTAGCAACTGACATAACATCATGATGAGCAATTCTATATCGAAATATGCTCATCGGAAGAAGTCGGATAGAATCAGCTCATTCTTTTCGTTATGATATCCACATGTTCAGCGGTAACCTCAATAACCATGGTTGACTCTGCTCTATCCTTGTCTTTCCATCCTACATCGCGTCTGACTTTCCTTTCCAAGTATCCCAGTGGATGCAGTGGAGCAGGACGTCTGGTCATGCGGTAGCAGGCAAAACATCGCCAGTGGCCATAGTCCATAGTCATAGTCCAATTTTTTGGGACAATCCCTGTCGATTTCTTCATATTATGGATCATGTATTTCATTCTGTCATTCCTGTTTGTCATGAGGACATCAAGGCCTGCTTGAACGCGCACCTTTGAGTAATATGTCATAGTGGACTCGTTTGGTTCAACCTATAGACCATTAGTTGTTGCTCTACAGGACAGTTATATTCTGGCGAATAATCAGTTATCCTACCTTAGCGTAGCAGCTGAAGCCATCGCAACCTGAGCAAGCATTGAGCTCCGGGTTTCCTGCTATACTGAGCATATACCGCTCCTGTCTAAGCTCCAGTTATAGTACTCGAATTAAGACCTTGATTAGGCCCTCTGCCTCCAACAGGAAGAGGATGAGTAGATCGTCTATCACAACCACGGGTTACTATCTAAAGTTTCAATCAGCTTTTACGCAAATAGGTAAAACAAACGGTTCACACATCGATTATAGCACTATTATAGCACCGGGATCAGTATTGCTTGAGGCAATATCAATTGCGCCATATGTTGAAGTCCAGGGTGTGGATAGTTGCAAATCCTCACGTGTGCATAGTCAGGTTTCAGCAACGACTATATTTAGCAGTAATTGACTGGAGGTAACATGCACAAGGCTGAAAACAGTGGATATTACACCATAGATAAGAATTCTGAGGTTTTCCCATTATTGATCAGTAAGTAGATCAACGTTGGGGAATGTTCTGGGGCAACAAGCGAGGTCTTGGCATTAGGGGTTGTTTACCCCCTAGTCAGACCCATGCGTTTCATCCCCCTTGCTCACTACACACACCCACAGGGCAATGGTGGGAATCCAGCAAAGGCGGCGACATCATCGCTTCATGATCCTTCCGGCATCGGGAGCCGATGGATAGGTCACCTAGGAGTGAGACATCTTCCCCGAACGTTCGAGCCTGCAAGGTACCTGCAGAAAGAAGAAACAGTCCGGTCCTTGGCATCGAAGATCGGAGTTGGTAATATCCACTTTGGAGCCAACTAGCGAGTTTCAAGTCTTGCTAGTCATGGTTTGCGACAGAGGAACTGCTCAGGAGTCCAGTCTCGGGACTTATGGGCGTCTTCTCACATGCCTTGACCTGGTGAGCTCGGCACTATTGCTACGGCTTGTGGAGACAGGCTGAGCAGAATCATTGACTCACTCTTACCAACAGGAAACTAAATCTATGCAAAAGTCTCGTACCGAGGCCTCGAATTACCTTTGAATCCAAGTTCCAATGTTACGCTGGACCCCTGATACATGCTTGCTTTCGCGGTAGATCATTAGTTCGTTACATCTCGATACTTCTCGTTTTCTTTACCCCAACAGGCATTCCGATGATTTGTGCACGGTTTACGGGTAATCGGAAGACCAAAATTAGACACATCTCAAACCGAACTACGGCGTGGATCCCTGGTGATCGCATGGTCTAGCCAGGGTCAAACGATCCAAAACCCGAGCTTGGGCGAAATCAAGACCTGACCAGGAGCTGGACTGTTCATGACGACTCGTTCGTGCGATGTTCAACTGATCCTTTCGCGCTAAGGCTGGAGTCTCCACCAGGATAACTCTATTCGCAAAGACTTGAGATCGGTTCTCTCCGAGCTGCACTGTAGAGTATGATGATGGTTCGTCCGTTGCAGTCATGGATCCTTGGTCAAGTTCTAATGACATGATACTAAACATCGAATTCGCTCTGTCCGTATCCCTCGAGCTCGTTCATGGTTTCTCTAAGGCGAACTGGCACTCATGGTGGACAGATCTATCGCATCGACATCTGCACAAACTATGTAGCAACGATGCTACCCGAAGTAGCTTGCTACTCGATCAGCCCTGGAGCCCCAACTCGGGGTGCTAGCAGGTTTCACCCCCTGTCCTTGTCTTTGTCCAAAACTCGGTTCACCATCAAGCCCTGTCCCTCTGGACGCCATCGTTTCATCCTCCGGGAATAGAAGCATGCCTTCCAGAGGCAGGAAGAATATCTCCCCAACGTCAAAGAGCGACCACAAATGCATAAATACCTCTCAACTTCCCATCTACTTCCTCCTAATCATCCACCAATCCACTCACTGCTCCTCTGGTAGAAGCATCTCCTCCTTCTTTTCCTCTCGTTTCTTTTCTTACTCAATAAAACCTATCGTTCTTCCCTTCGTTCAATATGCATATCGGTCTTTCTCTTCTCGCCCTCTCGGCTTCAACACTGGCTGCGCCGGTGCATACTCCTCAGAATCAGGATTCTACCGACCCGGTTCGTGTCAGCAAACTTCTGACGCCCATCTCCCACCCTGCTAAGGAGGAAAATCGCGTGGAGGCACGTACCTTCGGCCTCCTGACTGGTCTGCTCTCCCACGGTTTGGGCGGATCATCTGCATGCGAATCCTGCGAGGGTGAAGCCGGTGGCTCCGCTAGCGCCAACGGTGGATTGGGTGGCCTCTTGAGCGGTGGACTGGGCGGTCATCTCGGGGGTGGTCTGGGTGGTCACGGTGGTGGTTACGGCGGCAGCGAAAGCGGCGGCGACGACTGTGATGAAAATGGTGAAGGAGTGAGTGTTGGTGGTTCTTCCGGCGGCATGGCCGGAGGTTCCGCTGGAGGTTCCGCTGGTGGCTCTGCCGGTGGATCAGCAGGAGGCTCATCCAGTGGCTCCCATGGAGGATCTTCTGGTGGCTACGGTTCCTCCGGTGGTTCCTCCTCTGGCAGTGCTGGAGGAAGTGCAGGCGGTTCGTCCAGCGGTTCAGCTGGTGGTTCCGCTGGTGGCTCTGCTACTGGTTCCCCCGGTGGTTCTCCCTCTGGTGCTCCTCCCTCTGGTGCTCCTCCCTCTGGCGCTCCTCCCTCTGGTGCTCCTCCCTCTGGTGCTCCTGGTGGATCTGCAGGTGGTTCCGCTTCTGGCACTTCCGGAGGTTCTGCTACCGGCTCCGCGGGTGGCTCTACTAGCGGCTCGGCCGGCAGCGAGACAGGTGCCTCCCCTACTGGCCATGGCTCTGGTTCTGGTTCTGCTGGCGGTTCCGCCGGTGG